TTTTTTTTTTTCTTTTGTGATGACTGGGAACCCACAGCCGCTACTCTTTGGGTATACACTAAGTAAACTTTCGAACTGACACAATAACTTACAAACCATGTCAGTCAGGCAAACTTGTCCTCGTCTTTTGACTAAGAACTATACATGGTGATTTTGTTGAATTTGGAGTATTTTGTTAAACTTGTAAAATATTGTAGATAATTAATCAAAAAAATAAGTTTTTCTAATCTGGGGTCGAAGTGTTATTGGAGTTATCCCTACTTCTTCATGAATGGTCATTTTCAATTGCTTAGCTTGATAGTAAGCTTTCAAGTGACTTCCAAGTTTGAGTAAATCTTCTCATCCTATACGCATGATACACACTCTACAAATTGATTAAATTTCTCACATGCTAATTATTGAGAACAATTCAATTTGCATCCGCCGTCCTATGAATATATGTTCATTCATTCATTTATTTTTTTCGACAAATGATTTATCAAACATCTTAAATGTTGTAAAGACTATTACTTCAATCGAGTTTGATATCGTAAATGTGGAAAACACTCTATATTTGAGGCACAACCATTATAAACTCAACTCTATATCAATTGAATTCTTACGGTCAACATCATAAAATGATCAACTCTACGTCTCTTGAATTCTTTTACTTTGCATTACCATTTTTTGCTAGAATTATGTAAGGTTTAGAGATTGATCAAGCTACCATGATAATAAGGTTAAACTTTGTGAGTGAACTAATTCAAGAAGCAACCTAGTTCAAAAGATGGGGCCATGCCTCATCTCATAGGAGCTTGATAACATCAAGATATCCAGCTTATGCCACAATAGTGGTCAATCTCATTACAAAAGCTTATTATATAAGAACAAAAATGCTTCTTAGATGCTAAGCTCCGGATATCTAGTTTGATCTTCATAGTTTCCCTCCTAAGAGTAAAATGATGCCCATCCTAGAGAGTGTGTACTCACAGAAGTATGGTTAATACAGTTCTCTCAAAAGTGGCGAGCAACTTTAAATCTACTTAATTTAGACAATTAGAAATAAGAGTTTTACCTAGATATATAGTTGTAAGACATATAGTTGTGAGTCATTATCATGTTATGGTAGAGATCGACCTAACCATTCTCTATAAATATACGTCAATTGTTTATCTTGGATAAACAAATATGATTACATACGACTCAAAAATTCTAAAATGTTCTCTTTGGATACTATTTGACTTAGGTATTAAAGTCTTTTCAACTACTTCACCCTCCATTACGCGACGCTAACTAGGTAAACTAAGTTTAAATTTTTGCTGTTTTCCAGTTTAGATCACGTGAAATTGGCATAGAAGATAATATACAGTTTTAGAACTGGACAATGATTATTAACGTAAATAATAGACTAACCTCTCAAAAACACAATTTTTATTACGTTATTGACTCTAGGGAACACAACTAAAATCAGATTTTAGAACTAAGAAATAACGTTATGCGAAAAATAGAGATTAAAAAATAATAATAATAATAATAAAAATTGCGAGGACTCCTATATAATGATGACAATAGAGGTTTACTCAATCTTAACTAAAGTAATTACTTATTTTCTTTTCAAATCAATGTTAATTAATTAGATGGGCCCACCTTGCTTAATTGCATTATGAAACTTCCTATTGCAAAACCTTCAAGAATTGCCATAGTACACGTGTAGGTGTAGCCAAAGATACTAGTCCCGTTAGGTAGCAATTTTTCATTTCAAAAAATTAATTTTTTAATTGTTATTTCATTATTTCAACCGTCATATTTTACTTCTTCACTCACAGATGGAACCCAATTTTTTCTTTAACTGTCAAAAAATCAATTCTCATAATCACTACCGAATAAGTCCTTAATATATGAAGTATTAGTGTGTTACACATAGATGAAGGTTCTATCATGCATGGACACTCTTATTAGGATGGTGTATGTTCATATTGGGCATGTATTGTATTGTGTTACGTCAGCAGCAGTATTCCTCGAATACTTAAACCACATTTCATGTCCTATTTTTAAAATTCCTAATGTTAGAGAGGTATTTTGGAAAAATCCTCGAGCAAGTTTTCAACATTTCATCTTCCGTGAATGGTGGGTGTAGAATTCCACACCGAATAAAGTTGAAAATATTAAACCCTTGTTTGATCTCCACTATTTTCATAATATATTTTTCTATCTTCTTTTCAACTAAATATTGTTCAATAAAATAATATTACATGTAAATTTAAAATTTCTACTTATTTTTTGATTACATGTTTTTCATCAATCTACTAAATTAAATTATTAACCAAATAATGGAGCTCAAATAAGGGCTAAATAACTTATAAACGCTTGGACTATCATTTTAACAAAATTGACATTTTTTAAAGAGGAACTCAAAGTATTAAGTCCATGAAAGTAATACGATTCATTTCAATTCAATTGAGCATTTGAATTTAAAAAGGAAAAAGAAAAAGAAAAAAGGTGCTCAAACACACTATCTTCTTGCAGTGCATGTTAAGCGCAGAATTCCATTATGATTAAAATTTAATAAGGTTAATATTTTAAAATAGATATTCTAAGTTTTAGCTATTATTTAATTTATATAAAATTAATTTTTTAGTAGATTTTGATTAAACTTGTAGATCCCATAAAATATATGTTTAAAATTAATTGTCGATTTTAACTTAGATTTTAAAAATATAATATCCAACTTAAATTTTTTTTCTTTTTTCTTAAAAACTCTACTTTAAAATAAATCACGTGTTGAGTCGAGTCTATATCCGTGCAACTTAAAGGAGGCCCTTTCATCTACACAGCATATTTTTATTCTACTTCGACAAATTACTATATCGAAAAAAAAAAAAATTAAATAAATAAATTTGTCTATTAAGTAACTGAGACCGTCCACCTATTGTACAATATAAAAAGAAAAAAAATGAAAAATTCTTCAAGCACGCGATGAGAAGTTTCGAAGTCATTTATACACTGAGTACATAATAGTCAACACTTTATAGAAAAACTTAGGTTCCGTTTGGTACCCATTTTTTAAAATGCATTTTTCTCTCTTTTATTTTCAACTGCACATTTTTTTTAAAGTAATATTACACATAAATAAAAAACTTTTCCTTATTTTTCAACCACACATTTCCCATCAATTTATTATTCAAAAATATATTTTTACATAAAAAGTCTCCCAAACACTAACAAAATGGCACAGTAACCGGTTCAGCCGGCTACATAATACAGACAAGCTCGTGGGAAATGTGTATTATTTTTATGTATTAAATCATAAGAACTTCTTCTCCCCTTCTCAAACTATAAATTTTCTTCATATCGTCAACCTCTCTTTCTACGAGAGCCACTCTCTCTGCACTGAATTATTTCATTTGATCAAAAATGGCAGTTTCTGGACTTGTCATTAGAGTAAATCATCCCACACTTCAATATTTGACAGCCCAAAAGTTCAACTATGGTGGAAGAAAACAGGTTATTTTCTGTTCTTAATATTCTTGTATATATTTTTGTGTTTGTTTGTAGTTTAGTTCATAGCTGGTCTCAAATCTGAGTAAATGACAAGGGTGGCGCATAGAGTGAAATTTTGTCATATTTTATGATATGTAGTCGACTGTAGATTTACTGGAATTCCCGATGCTTAGTTTTTAGTTCTAGAGTCTTTCATATATATGCTTAATGATGCTTGGAGTCTATTGTTATCTGATGTGGGATTTACCATTTTAACGCTGTCGATATTGTTCCAGTTATGTGTGAAAGCATCTTCTGGTAATGCAGAAGCTGAGGAAGGAAATATCATAATGAGGAAAGAAAAAGATGGTTGGAAGCCAGATTTCTCCGGTGGAATGCCGCCTACACCGATACTCGACACTATTAATTATCCAGTTCATATGAAGAATCTTTCTGTAAAGGTATTTCGATTTGATGTACCATTAGTTTTTTGTGCATTTGTGACACTTAATATTTTATCATTAGCGCGTACGAAGAATGAGTCTTTCTTTTACTTCATTTGGTGAATTGAGCTCCTTGTACAAGAAAATGTACGAGGATTTTTATAGATGTACTGGTGGCAATACTGCATTAGCTAACCCCTGCGTTCTTTGTCCGATAACCAATTAAATTTTGATAGCTAGCAATTTGTCCAAAAAATTGTCAACTAGCCCTCTACATGTAGCAGAATTGTTATTTGGCCGGGGTGCCTTTGCACCTCGGGATCCCACAAACTTGCATGCATCGTTAGTTTCTGGCACTTATTATTGTTTTATAAGCTCACCCAGAGAATGAGTCTTTTTCTCTTCATTTTATTTGACCCGGGTTGCCTTTGGATTCAGAAATCCGGATTTGCCTCTGAGCTAAAAGGTTTTCGGTTCCATTTGTGACCAGGATCTGGAAAAATTAGCTTCAGAACTTAGAGCAGAGATTGTACATACTGTATCAAAGACAGGAGGACATCTCAGTTCAAGCCTGGGAGTTGTGGAATTGACTGTGGCTCTGCACCATGTTTTCAATGCTCCTGAAGATAAAATTATCTGGGATGTTGGCCATCAGGTAAATATTTCATTTTTATGGCCAAACACGACTAGAATAAAATGTCAAGAAGTAGCGTTGAATCATTTTATCTAAAAGTTTAAGTTGGAAGACTTTCTTCAACACGCCCCTCGAGTGGGAATTATGTCTTCAACAAGTTGAACCCGAACCCGATTGACCAATTTGGCTTTTCTGTATAAGGGTCTTTATGTTTTGTATCATGTTGTATATTCTCTGGGAACTCACGGAAAGGTTCTGAAAAACTACAATAAAATTGCAGGCTTATGGGCACAAAATTCTCACTGGAAGGAGGTCTAAAATGCACACAATCAGGAAGACTTCTGGGCTAGCAGGCTTCCCCAAAAGAGAGGAGAGTGTCTATGATGCTTTTGGTGCAGGCCATAGTTCGACAAGCATCTCAGCTGGACTCGGTAAATTTTCATTGATGCTTCGAAATTCGAAATTCTGCATACTTTGACTTGTTCGGTAGCACTGGACAGTATTAAAGAAGTAAAAGTTTTCCAATACTATGTCCAACGTGCACAAAATGTAAATTCCGTGGCAGCAAAAAAGGTGTAATGTATTAAGACTTGGTTTTTCTCTTTATTCGTTACAGGATATGAACCTTAATAATGCCCAGCAAGATGGTCGTTTGTTTGAGCACGTCTATTTTGGAATCTAAATGCTCCTTTCAGTTCTAGAAGGACCGAATAGCGAGTTTTATTTAATTAGAATATCATATTAAGACTTGTGTTCCATCTTAAAATATGAATCATGTTAAGAGAAGTAACCCAAAATGGGTTAATGTTTTCATCTTCATTCGATGTGGAATTTTACCCTTAGAATATTATGGAGATAATTGATTGTTTAAATTTTACGTTGGTAGGCATGGCGGTGGCGAGAGATTTGTTGGGGAAGGACAATAACGTCGTTTCTATTATTGGAGACGGAGCTATGACTGCCGGACAAGCATATGAGGCGATGAATAATGCAGGATTTCTTGATACTAACCTTATCGTCGTACTGAATGACAACAAGCAAGTTTCATTGCCCACTGCTACACTTGATGG